GATAATTTTTGATAAGTCGAGTTAAACAAAATCTTACTAAAATTATTCCAACTGTTTTCTACCTGTAAAATGTACTGTATTAGATCACTTAAAATTATGTATGTGGCTCACATTGTATTTCTACTAGATAGCCTCTCCGCGGAATGCTTTTTATGCCCCAGCATAATCGGGGCTTACCTTTAATTAAAGGACAGCTTAATTTCCCCCTCGATGAGTATCCTGGGTATTACTTACAGGCTAGCCGGCCATGTCCCATTTCTCTTACTGTTGTAAAAAGCATCCTGAGAGACTACAGAAAGAATCGAAGAATCATGACTAGGTTTTTTTTTCTGTTTTTAATTCTGTCAGTATGGAATGCGACGGAGACAAGTACTAGTTACATTCCACTGCCTCTTTTTATAATCCTAAATCCCCGGTTCTGGTTGTCCTTCTTCATGAGTTTTAATAGGCCAGGGCTCCGTAAACTTTCCTGTTAGCTCAGATGTGTTTAAACCGTAACCTAGGAGCAGCCTTAGTAATCCTGTTACCTATGAATGAAGTTAATTAAAGATTAGTAAGTAATGTTTGGGTAATATAAATGTTACCCAATTATAAGAAATAGGAAAAGGTGATCAGGGTCTGTGTTTTCTACTTTTGCTGAAATTGAAGACCTCTTTACATCTACTTAATAGATAGCTTCTCTTCAGCACTTGGATCAAGATTAGCTACATGTGCTTCCTATTCGTGATTTTGGCTTCAGGGGTGCCTGGGGGGCTTAGTCAGTTAAGCATCGGACTTCGCCTCAGGTCATGATCTCACGGTTCGTGGGTTGGAGCCCCCAAGTTGAGCTCTGTGCTGACAGCTCAGAGCCTGGAGCCTATTTCAGATTCCGTTTCTCCTTCTCTCTCTGCCTCTCCCCCATTTACCCTCTCTCTCTCTCTCTCTCTCTCTCTCTCTCTCTCTCTCTATCTCTCTCTCAGAAATAAATAAAACATTAAAAATTTTTTTTTAAAGTAATTTTGGCTTCACACACTGGACCTCATAAAGTCAACACAGTCTTGTGCCTTCCGTTTTTCCTTACACGTCTTCAGTCTCTAAACTCTGTTGCCCCTGCTGTTAAATCCGTAACCAAGTGGAGGCTAATCATAAACTGTCTTACATTTCAGGCATTTCATTGTGATTTGGGTGTTGAATATTTTCATTATCGCATCAGTGGTTTTTCAGACTTGTATTTTTTTGAAAAAACAGTATAACCCTGCAGATCTTGCTGGAAGCCATTTTCCAAACCGACAAAATCAGCGTTGTGTTTGAGTCGAGTGGACGGGCGAAGCTCTGTTGCCCACATACAGATCCTCTTCCCTGCTGCCTCGAAGGCTCTCGGAGCCACGTGTGGGGGGTTTGGAACACAGCTTACTGCACAATGAGGGAGCGTGGATTTAGTTTCCGGTGCGTTCAGTGCTTAGCATCCTTAAGACTAGGGTTAGCTTCCAAGTGATCTTGGTGTATCGGAAAAAAAATCAGAGCTAATAAATTTGAGCAACTATACAAGTGCCAAAATTGGCATCAGTCAGTCGTATGAGTCTTCAGTATAAAAGAAAATTTTGGATTGCCATGAGACAGCACCTGGAATTAATTGTACATTCGCATACAATATAAAATTGAATTAGACGACAGTGATGGAAGGTAGAACTTTCTCTTCTTTCTGTATTTCAAGGTTCTATCCAGCTGCACTCCTTTCTCTCTGCTTAAGGAACATAGGATAGACGTGAGACTTTGTTTTCCACAATCCTAAAACTTGAGGGGGAAAAAAATCAAGTAGTCAAATATTTGAAGCCTCTGAACATATTAATAATTTGGTGTTCAGTATTTTTATTAATGTTTTATATTACAATTATTCTGTCAGTAACATCCCGTGCACCCTGACTTCATGCAACATAACGAAGCTAAGTCTCAACTCAAAAGACTTAGTACAAAAGATTCAAATACGGTTTTCTAGCTTCAAGGGATACCTTGGGCTCTTACATTTTTCACTGTAGGCACTTGACTGACAAGCCCTGCTCACTTGTGCCCTTACAGGCAGCTTGATATGATGACCCGTGAAAGCCATAGGAGTTTTATAATCCCCCTTGGACCTTCCAGCGGAGGGGAGAGCCTACTTCTCGGTCATGTATTTGGCTTAAATAAAAAATGATACACAGAAGGTTACAAAAAAAAGGCAGTTGTCTTTTTTTCAGTCCTCTGATTACCTTGATGACTTTTTGGTTTCTTTTGAAAACTCAGTGTAGTGATCTCTGTACATAAGATACATTTTTCTCAAAATCATAATTTACTGCTAAGGGTAAGATTATTTTATCGGTTTCATTTTCACTCCAGAGCAAGATTTTTCCTTTTTTTTTTTTTTTTTTTTTTTTAACAAATTCTTACTACAGGGACATGAGGGTGTGAAGGCACCCGTATGCCGGGGAGGTGAGGGGCTCTCTCTGTGTCCAGCGCCCTCCTGGGTGCTTCCCAGATGGTGCCATGTTCATTGCTCACCCACAGGTTACACGGGTTCATCTGTGTTTTAAACATTAGAAAATTGAGGTCCAGAGTAAGTAACTCACTGCAGTCACACAGAAAAGTGGTACAGAAGATACCTAACCTTGTATCTAATCCCCAGATCATGTCATTCTCACCATGTTGGCCAACTGTCTAGAAGCCATCTCTATTTAGTAGTCCCAGTATTCTCTCTAGTATTGTAGCTGCCATTATAGTGAGCTGTGCTACTTTATTACTAGTATGACCTTCTAGGTGTTATTTTTATAATTAGATTTTTTTTTAAAATTTAATGTTTATTTTTGAGAGAGAGAGAGAGACAGAGCAAGAGAAAGAGAAGAGGAGTCAGGGGAGGGGCAGAGAGAGAGGGAGACACAGAATCTGACACAGGATCCAGGCTCAGAGCTGTCAGCACAGAGCCTGACGCGGGGCTTGAACCCACGAACCGCGAGATCATGACCTGAGCCAAAGCTGGATGCTTACCCAACTAAGCCACCCAGGCGCCCCTATTCTTTTTTCAAACATTTATTCATTTTTGAGAGACAGAGACTGAGTGTGAGTGGAGGAGGGGCAGAGAGAGAGAGGGAGTCACAGAGTCCGAAGACAAGGCTCCAGGCTCTGAGCTGTCAGCACAGAGCCTGACACGGGTCTAACCACAAACTGTGAGATCATGACGTGAGCTGAAGTCAGATGCTTAACCCAGGTGTCCCTGTAATTAGATTTTACATCATTTATGGAAAGACTTCTTTAAGAAGAGTTTTCCTTTGATCATATAAGTAGTACACTTGCTACATAAATCCCAAAACAAGAAAATGAAATCACCAATTTTTTAACTGTAATATGGTTGCCTTATGCTGCCTTAGTTTCGGGTGTACAACTTAGTGATTCACCAGTTCTGTACGTTAGACAAGGCTCTCCCCACAGTAAGTGCAGGTACATCTGTCCGCATACAAAGTTCTTAAAATATGATCAAATCTGTTGCCTGTAGAGGCAGAGAGACTTTTTATCTCTAGGACTTACTTATTTTGTAGCTGGAAGTTTGTACCTCTCAATCCCTTTCACCTATTTTGCCTTTTCCCTTACATCCCTCCCCTTTGGTGACGACCAATTTGTTCTTTGTCTTTGTGAGTCTGATTCTTACCATTTGTATGTTTGTTTTGATATTTTGTTTTCCTGTTTAGATTCTTCATATAAATGCAACCATGTGATATTTGTCTTTCTCAATCTGATTTACTTCACTTATCATGGTACCATCTAGGCCCATCCGTGTTTTCATGAATGGCAAGATTTTAATACGTTTTAAGGCTTAGTAACATTGTCATTACATTATTCTACACCACGTCTTCTTTATCCAGTCTTCTACTGATGGACATTTAGGTTGCTTCCCTATTGTAAATACTGCTGCAGTAAACATAGGGGTTCATATATCTTTTCACATTAGTGTTTTCTTTTTCTTTGAGTAAAAACCCAGAAGTGGAATTACTGGACTGTATATGATTTTTTTGTAATTTTTTGAGGACCGTCTATATTGTTTTCCATAATGGCCAGATTATGGCAATTTATAATCCCACCAACAGTGCCCGAGGGTCCTCTTTTCTCTACTTCCTCACTCACACTTGTTCTTTCTTGCATTTTTGATACGAGCCTTTCTGACTGGCTTGAGGTAACACCTGATTGTGGTTTTGATTTCTCAGAAGATGAGTGATGTTCAGCATCTTTTCCTGTATCTCCTGGCCATCTTTATGTCTTATCTGGAAAAATGTCTGTTTAGATATTGCCAATTTTTTAATTGGATTATTTACAGAGTTTTTGTTTTAGAGTTGTTATGAGTGCTTTATATATTTTAGATAGTAACTCTTTATCAAATATATCCTTCTACACATATCTTCTCCCGTTTGGTAGGTTGCCTTTTTATTGTGTTGATGGTTTCCTTCACTTTGCAAAAGCTTTTTTTTTTTCTTTTTAACTTTTTAATGTTTATTTTTGAGAGAGACCAGGCACTACTGGGGGAGAGAGAGAGGGAGACACAGAATTTGAAGCAGGTTCCAGGCTTTGAGCTGTCAGCACAGAGCCCGATGCAGGACTTGAACCCAGGGACCATGAGATCATGACCTGAGCAGAAGTTGGACACTTAACTGACTGAGCCACCCAGGCTCCCCTGCAAAACCTTTTTAGTTTGATGTAGTCCTAGCTGTTTATTTTGGTTTTCTTTCCCTTACCTTGGAGACAGATCCAGAAAAATATTGCTGAGGCTGATATCCAAGAGATAATTGCCTGTGTTTTCTTCCAGTAGTTTTATGGTTTGGGGACTTATATTTAGGTCTTTAATCCATTTTGAGTTTATTTTTGCATATAGTGTTAGAAAGTGGTCCAGTTTCCCCAGGACCATTCACTGAAGAGACTGTCTTTTCCTCCTTGTATATTCTTGTCCCCTTTGTCTTACATTAATTGACCATAGAAATGTGGGTTTGTTTCTGGGCTCTCACCTTGGTCACGTTGATCTATGTGTCTTTTTTCGTGGCAGTAGCATACTGTCCTGATTACTCCATCTCCATAGTGTATCTTCAGGCCGGACATTAGGACACTTGCAGCTTTGCTGGTCTTTCTCGACGTTGCTTCGGTTATTCAGGGTCGTCTGTAGTTCCATACACATTTTAGGATTATTTTTCTAATTCTGTAAAAAAAAAATACTGTTGGTATTTTGATAGGGATTGTACTGAATCTGAAGATTGCTTTGGGTAATATAGACATGTTAACAATATGTATTCAATTCCTTTATCAGTGTGTCACAGTTTTCAAAGTACAGGTCTTTCACCTCTTTGTTTAAATTTCTTCCTAGGGATGGGGGTACCTGGGTGGCTTAGTTGATTAAGTTTCCAACTCCTGATTTCAGCTCAGCTTATGATGTCAGTTTGTGGGTCTGAGCCCCGTATCGGGCTCTGTGCTGACAGCATGGAGCCGGCTTGGGATTCTCTCTTTCCCTCTCAAACATGAACAAACATGTAAAAGGAAATTTCTTCCTAGATATTCATTTTGATGCAGTTGTAAATGGGATTGTTTTCTTAATGTCTCTTTCTGCTAGCTCATTATTAATGTATAGAAATGCAACAATTTTATATCATGCTACTTTACTGAACTCATCTATTAGTCTAATGGGTTTGTGGTGAAGTCTTTAGGATTTTCTGTATATAATATCTTGTCATCTATAGTGACTGTTACTTCCTCCTTACCAATTTGGATGTTTTTGTTTTGTTTTGTTTTTACAAATAGTTGATGGTCAAGTTGGTTTCCATATAACACCCAGTGCTCATCCCCACAAGTGCCCTCCTCCATGCACATCACCCCTCCTCCCCTCAACACCCATCAGTCCTCAGTTTGTTCTCAGCATTCAAGAGTCTCTCATGGTTTGCCTCTCTCCCTCTCCCCCACTATTTCCCCCCTTCTTCTCCTCCATGGTCCTCCATTAAGGTCCTCCTAATCCTCCTGTACATGCAAACATATGATATTTGTCCTTTTCTGCCTGACTTATTTCGCTCAGCATAACACCCTCAAGGTCCATCCACGTTGCTACACGTGGCCAGATTTCGTTCTTTCTCATTGCCATGGAGTATTCCATCGTATAGATAAACCACATCTTCTTGATCCATTCGTCTGTGGATGGACACTTAGGCTTTTTTCATGTTTTAGCTATTGTTGAGAGTGCTGCTATGAACATTGGGGTCCATGTGCTCCTATGCCTCAGCACCCATGTATCCATTGGGTAAATTCCTAGCAGTGCTATTGCTGGGTCCTAGCGGAGTTCTAGTGTTTATTTTTTGAGGAACCTCCACACTGTTTTCCAGAGGGGCCACACCTGTTACATTCCCACCAACAGTGGAGGAGGGTGCCCGTTTCTCCACATCCTCGCCAGCATCTAGAGTTCTCTGATTTGCTCATTTTAGCCACTCTGACCGGTGTGAGGTGGTATCTCAGTGTGGTTTTGATTTGTATTTCCCTGATGAGGAGGGATACTGAGCATCATTTCATGTGTCTGTTGGCCATCTGGATGTCCTCTTTGGATAAGTGTCTGTTCATGTCTTCTGCCCATTTCTTCACTGGATTGTTTTTCAAGTGTGGAGTTTGGTGAGTTCCTTATAGATTTTGGATACTAACCCTTTATCTGATACGTCATTTGCAACTATCTTTTCCCATTCTGTTGGTTGCCTATTAGTTTTATGGATTGTTTCCTTTGCTGTGCATCGGATTTTTTTTTGTGTTTTTGTTTCTTTGTCTAATTGCTTTGGCGGGGACTCTGGGTACTATGTTCAATAAAAGTAGTGAGGCAGTGGACATTCTTGCCTTATTCCTGATCTTAGAGGGAAAGCTATTCTTTTTCTTTCTTTTTTTTTAATCTTTACCTTGAGTATGATGTTAGCTGTGGATTTGTCATAAATGGTCTTTATTAGTTTGAAGTATGTTCCCTCTGTTTTATCATGAACAGAAGTTTATTTTGTCAAATGCTTTTTCTATATCCTTCATTTGCTAATGTGGCAAATCATGTTGAAGGTTTTTATCCTTCATTTTGCTAATGTGGCAAATCATGTTGATTAATTGGTGGATGTTGGCATAGCCTTGCATCCCTGGAATAAAGTCAGGTGAGTGATTCTTTTAATGTATTAATGAATTCAGCTTGCTGATATTTGAGGGTTTTTGCATCTCTGTTCATCAAGGATATCCTGTAATGTTTTGTCTTTATCTCACTTCGACACCAGGGTAATGCTAGCCTTTGCAGAATAAATTATGCTAGCTTGTTTAAAACAATATTGTTGTTTCAGTAACTGGGAATTACAAGAGATGGGGTCCCAGTTGTCCAGGTGGGATTGAGAAGTCCACTGTCTGGTGACTCTGTGTTTCCCATGACCATTTGGATCTGCTTTCTCCTGTGTGACCTTCATTCTCAGACTCTTTCTGCAACAGTCCAACACTCTACCTTTTCCTTTCCTCATCCTTAAAAGAAGAAATAGGTGATGGTCTTTTCCTCAAAGCTCCAGAAAAAATAGTGAAGAAGAGTCTCACTGGCCTAACTTGTGTCCTGGGTCTGTCCCTAGACCCATTACTATGACAAGGAACAGTGGTCCTCAACTTGTGTAGCTTCTGGCTTGGCTTGGGCCTTTGCCCAGGGTAGGGAGAGGGAGAGAGTGATACAAGAATTGGGTCAGGTGAGAGGACCAAGAAGCCCATCCTTAAATGAAAGGACCAGTAGCCAACCAGGAAAAACAAGCCAACATCTGGATGTATATGATTTACTGGGTGTTAAAAATAACAAAACTATCTTACTGACAATTTTAGTTGAGGTTTAATGTGAACGACAAACACATTTTCTCATTCTCTTGTCTCAGTAATACTATGATATTTAACAATGAATGAGACCATATACAAATGTAAAAACAATGGGGGGTGGTGAAAGCCAATGTGCTTGTCTTGTTCCTTATCTTAGAGGAAAAGCTTTTAGCTTTCACCATTGAGCATGATGTTAGTTGTGGATTTGTCATATATGGCCTTTACTACATTGAGGTATGTTCCCACTATACCCATTTTGTTGAGTTTTTATCACATACGGGAATATTGAATTTTGTCAAATGCTTTTTCTGCACCTATTGCGATGATCCTATGGTCTGTCTTCCTCATTTTGTTAATATGGTGTATGGCATTGATGGAGTTGTGGATATTGAACCATCCTTGCATCCATAGAATAATTCCCACTTGATCATGATGGATGATGCTTTTAACTTATATTTGTTTTGATGATGATTTCTGCATGTATATTCATTAGGGATATCAGTCTATAATTGTCTTTTTTTTTTTTCAGTGTCTTTGAAGCATTCTTTCTTACCAATTTTTTGTAAGAGGGATTTACTGTCCTTTAAGTGTTTCACAGCATTCTCCTGTGAAGCCATCTGTTCCTGGACTTTTGTTTTTTTTAATTTAATTTTGTTTTTTTTAATCACTGATTAAGTTTCATTACAGTAATTAGCGTGTTCAGATTTTCTGTGTCTTCCTGATTCAGTCTTAGAAGAGTCTATGTTTCTAGGAATTTATCCATTTCTTCTAGGTTATGCATTTTGTGGTCATGTAATTTTCCACAGTAGATTCTCATAATCCTTGTGTTCTGGTGATATCAGTTGTAAATTCTCTTTTCTGATTTTATTCATGAGTCCTCTCTCATTTCTTGATTAGCCTAGCTAATGTTTTATCAATTTTATCTTTTTCAAAGAACCAGCTCTTAGCCTTATTGATCTATTCTGTTTTAGTTTCTATTTCTGGTATGTACTCATTCGTTCCTTCTTCTAGCTTTGGGTTTTATTTATTTTGGAGAGAGAGAGAGAGTGTGTGAATGAGGGAGAAGCAGAGAGAGAGGGAGACAAGAATTCAAAGCAGGCTCATGCTCAACCTGGGGCTCAAACCCATGAGCTGTGAGAGATCATAACCTAAGCTGAAGTTAGAGGCTTAACTGAGCCACCAAGTCACCTCTGGCTTGTTCTTTTTCTGATTTCTTTAGGTGTATGTTTAGATTTTTTATTTAAGATCTTTCTATTTTTGAGGTAGGCCTCTGTCATTATAAACTTCACCCTTAAAACTACTTTTACTATATCTCAAATATTTAGAACCGTAGTGTTTCTATTTTCATTTGCCTCCAGGCATTTTTTTTTAATTTCCTATTTTTTGAGATTTTAAGTAATCTTTACACCCAGCATGGGACTCAGACTCACAATGCTGAGCTCAGGAGTCACATGCTGGACCAGCTGAGCCCGCCAGCTTCTGGTTGTTTTTCTAGTACCTCACTGCTGCTTTCTTGCTCTTGCCTTGTGATTGATGACTTTCTTGAATGTTATGCTTGGCTTTCTCTTTTTGTGTGTATTATAGGTTTTTGATTTGTGATTATCATGAGATTCATAAATAACATCCTAAGTATATAGCAGTTTGTATGAAGCTGATGGTCACTTGAGTCTTTTAGAATGTGTTAGAACTTCATTTTTACTCCTTCTCCATGTTATATGTTTATGTCCTATTTTACATCTTTGAGGGCCTTGTCTAATTTTTGTAGATGTAATTAATTCTACTTTTATCTTTTAACGTTAGTACTAGCTTCATAAGTGATTGGTCTCCTGCCAGTAAGTTTGCTGTAACCAGTGAAGTTTTTTCTTAATTTTCTTCTAGTTTGGGCCTTTTCATTTTACTTAAGGAAGTCCCTTTAATATTTCTTTTAAGGTTGGTTTAGGGCTCAGACAGTTAAGGGTCCGACTTCAGCTCAGGTCATGATCTCACAGTTTGTGGGTTTGAGCCCCGTGTTGGGCTCTGTGCTGACAGCTCAGAGCCTGAAGCCTGCTTAAAATTCTCTGTCTCCCTCTCTCTCTGACCCTCCCCTGCTCACGCTGTCTCTCTCTCAAAAATTTAAAAAAAAATTTTTTTTAAAGATTGGTTTAGTGGTGATCAACTCCTCTAACTTTGTGCAGGGAAACTCTTTTTCCTTCAGTTCTGATCTTCTTGGGTTCATCTTGATTAGGGCTCCCTTTGCTTCCTGAAACCTAGATGTCTGTTTCCTTTCCCAGGTTAAGGAGGTTTTCAGCTATCCTTTCTTTTAAGTTTTCTACCCTTTTCTCATCTTCTGGGACCCTTATAATGCAAACATTAGTA